GGTGCCCTGATCAGCGACACAATCAGGTGCTCTACACAGACCCGCCTAAGTTTTGTATTTTCAGTACAGACACGGTTTCACCATGTTGGCCAGGCTGGTCTTGAACTTCTGACCTCAAGTGATCCACCCACCTAAGCCTCCCAAAACGCTGGGATTACAGACGTGTGCCACTGCATCCGGCCGTGGTTACCATTTTTTAAAGTTCTATGTTCTTAGGCTAAAAAAAAATAAACTTCTCCCCAGCTATAACAAAAGTATTCATATTATTCCTCTCCTACATCTCCAGAAACAGCCCAGTCAACCTGAAAATGTCTTGTTATTGGAATACTCTGGCAAGTTAACTATAGATATTAGCAGCAATAGCTCCTTCCTACCCTTAGAATTACATCAAGATAGCTACACAAGTCAGAAATGCAACATGCCAGAAATAATAAAGATCCTGATAGATTATAAGCTCCACGAGGGCAGAGAATCTGTCCTGTTTACCCTGTCATCTGGCACAAAACTAGCAATTAATAAGTATTTAATCTTGTTTTAGTGATCCAATCTTCAGAGTGCTAATCCTGAATGGAGACCCCAGTCATAGGACTACTGTGGATCAAGTCAAAGAAAATAAAATATATAAAAGTACTCTACTTCGGCACTTTTACAATTGTAGACTTTGTTTTGTTCTGTTTTTGAGACTGAGTTTTCCTCTTGCTGCCCAGGCTGGAGTACAGTGCCGTGATATCAGCTCACTGCGATCTCTGCCTCTCATGTTCCAGTGATTCTCCTGCCTCAGCCTTCCGAATAGCTGGGATTACAGGCACCCTTCACCACCCTCAGTTAACCTTGTGTTTTTAGTACACATGGGGTTTTACCACATCGCCCAGGCTGGTCTTGAACTCCTGACCTCAAGTGATCTGCCGGCCTCAGCCTCTTAAAGTACTGGGATTATAGGTGTGGGCCACTGTGTCTGGCCTAATTGTAAACATTTTTAAAAAACATCTTAGCATTAGCATTCTGCTGAGCTAGGTATTCTATAAGGATTTATTCCAACTGAATATGCGCATTAGAATACTGTAAAAACTGAGAAACAGACTCAGATTATGTACCTTTTTTTGGTGATAAGTACTGTATATGTGTTAATTTAATCTTGACCAAACCCCAGGAAATAATACTTTCTACTTGCAGTTGAGGAGACTGAGTAACTTGCTGAAGGTCACATGGTTGGTAACTTCCAAACACGTGATACAAATCCAAATCTGTATGACTCCGCAGCCCATGCTGGTTTGCCCATAGGAATGTCTCTCAAATTTTTTTGAGGTAACCTCAAGTTGCAAGAAAAACCAAAACATATTCCCAGGGGGGTTTGGGAGATTACTGAAGTATCCAGTTTAAGCCTGATGTGTCTCTAAGCTCATACTTTTCTCTTAAATTTTATTTTTTTTCATTTTTTATTTATTTATTTATTTTTGAGACGGAGTCTAGCTCTGTCGCCCAGACTGGAGTGTGGTGGCGCAATCTCAGCTTACTGCAACCTCCGCCTCCCGGGTTCAAGCGATTCTCCTGCCTCAACCTCCCGAGTAGCTGGGACTACAGGCACATGCTACCACACCCAGCTAATTTTTTATATTTTTTAGTAGAGATGGGGTTTCACTGTGTTAGCCAGGATGGTCTCGATCTACCGACCTCGTGATCCACCCACCTCGGCCTCCCAAAGTGCTGGGATTACAGGCGTGAGCTACTGCACCCGGCTTAAATTTTATTTTTATATTTGCATTTTACCCCCACATTTATTTATATATGTATATTTTATTTATTTTTTTTGAGATGGAGTCTCGCTCTGTCACCCAGGCTGGAGTGCAGTGGCGTGATCTCGACTCACTGCAAGCTCTGCCTCCCAGGTTCACGCCATTCTCCTGCCTCAGCCTCCCAAATAGCTGGGACCACAGGTGCCCACCACCACGCCAAGCTAATTTTTTGTATTTTTAGTAGAGATGGGGTTTCACCGTGTTAGCCAGGATGGTATCAATCTCCTGACTTCGTGATCCACCCACCTCAACCTCCCAAAGTGCTGAGATTACAGGCGTGAGCCACTGTGCCTGGCCAATTTATTTATTTTTAGAAGGACTCTCTCTCTGTTGCCAGGCTGGAGTGCAGTGGCCCGATCTCAGCTAACTGCAACCTCCACCTCCCGGGTTCAAGCTATTCTCCTGCCTCAGCCTCCTGAGTAGCTGGGACTACAGGCACGCGTCAGCTAATTTCTGTGTTTTTAGTAGACAAACGGTTTTACTATGTTGGCCAGGATGGTCTTGATCTCTTGACCTCATGATCCACCCACCTCAGCCTCCCAAAGTGCTAGGATTACAGGAGTGAGCCACCGTGCCCGGCCTACCCCACATTTTATTAATGTTTATTTTCTTTTTCAAAATTTTTAATGATTTATCCATACTACACAGATGTAATGTTTGCTTAATATAAACCATTTCAAATGACTTACCAGGTAAATCATTTAACTCTTCCCTCCCTGAAATATTTTTTTGAGAAAAGTGATAATATAAGAAGGTGCACCTTCCATATTTATCCCACAGCTTTGTTTAGTTCCTAGTGCCTGGCTTCAAAAACCTGGATCCCAGTTTGAAAGCATGACTACAAAGCAAATTGCATTAAAGACCTCTTAAGAATGATGATGAAAATTATTATTATAGGCAAGGGCCAGAAGATTTTTGTTTTTTTGAGACTGAGTCTCACTCTATCACCCAGGCTGGAGTGCAGTGGCGCGATCTAGGCTCACTGCAAGCTCCGCCTCCTGGGTTCAGGCCATTCTCCTGCCTCAGCCTCCCAAGTAGCTGGGACTACCAGTGCCCGCCACCATGCCCGGCTAATTTTTTCTATTTTTAGTAGAGATGGGGTTTCACCATGTTAGCCAGGATGGTCTTGATCTCCTGACCTTATGATCCGCAAAAGATATTAACAGCACTTAATTGTATAGCTATAGAGTTGAGTGTGTTTTTGTTTTGTTTTGTTTTTGAGATGGAATCTCACTGTCACCCAGATTGGAGTGGAGTTATGCGATCTCAGCTCACTGCAACCTCGGCCTCCCAGGCTCAATCAGTTCTCCCACCTCAGCCTCCCAAGTAGCTGGGACTAGAGGCATGCACCACCATGCTGGCTAATTTTTGTATTTTTTATAGAGATGGGGTTTTGCTCTGTTGCTCAGGCTCATCTCAAACTCCTGAGATCAAGCGATCTGCCCTCCTAGGCCTCCCAATGTGCTTGGATTCCAGGCTTAAGCCACTGTGCCAGGCCAGAGTAGTTCTGAACTTTCCACTGTCAATGAAAGAAATTCTAAACACGACCGATTCCACTGAGTTTGACCAAACTAACTGAAGACTTATTGTTGAATGTGGTAATACCATTTTTTTCTTTACCCGAGAATCTGGGTGGTTTATAAGCATAAGCGTGAATTCTCCCTGAGGATAGTATTTATGTGCTGAGTGCTCAAATATAGACCATATTAGAAGTTAAGCAATGGGTTGAGTGGCCAACCAGATTTTGGTCAGTCCTACAAGACTTACTCTGACCTACCAAATGGGGTATAAATGCTTCTTGTATTCTCCCCACCAGTAGGGACTCAAAATTTTAATAGATCAGGGTAGTAAAACGGATGCTAGGTTTGAATCTTGGCTTTAAGAAAACCGTGCTGAGGTGTTTTGTTTGTTTGAGAGAGGGTCTCACTCCGTCACCCAGGCTGGAGTGCAGTGGTGCGATCACGGCTCACTCCCAGGCCGAAGGGATCCTCCCACCTCAGACCCCTGAGTAGCTGGGACCACCAGTACATGCTAGCATGCCTGGCTAATTTTTTGTACTTTTGGTAGAGACGGTGTTTAGCCATGTTGTTGAGGCTGGTCTCAAACTCATGAACTCAAGGTGATCCACCCGCCTCGACCTCCCAAAGTTCTGGGATTACAGGCATGAGCCACTGCGCCCGGCCAGCTTTCTTTCATCAGAATTGATATCAAACTATATGCTGAGCTTCTATGTCCTTATCTTCCTTTTGGCATGGCTATGCCCATTTGAAATGTGTGGGATTTGCTAAAGTGCTCAACATACGTTGTTTCCTTTTTTAGATGTAAGTATGTAGAGGACTCTGATTTGCAATATTTAGAAAGTTTCTCTAAGCTAGGAAGAAAAGTCAAGACTAAGAATCATTGCCAACAGGGCCGGGCACGGTGGCTCACGCCTGTACTCCCAGCACTTTGGGAGGTCGAGGCAGGCGGATCACGAGGTCAGGAGTTCAAGATCAGCCTGGCCAACATGGTGAAACCTCTTCTCTAATAATAATACAAAAATTATCCGGGCATGGTGGCATGCACCTGTAATCCCAGGTACTCGAAAGGCTGAGGCAGGAGACTCACTTGAACCCGGGGGGCAAAAGTTGCAGTGAGTTGAGACAGCGCCACTGCACTCCAGCATGGGCAACACAGTGAGACTCTGTCTCAAAAAAAAAAAAAAAAAATCTTCGCCAATAGGTAGGAAATAAGTTACCCCCTGCTAAATAAGTTACACTCACTGAGACAAGGAAAGATCTCATAAACCACCTTCTAAACTGCTTCCTTTCCTCCCCAAAGTTCTGTAATTTAGAAGTGGCCACTACCACGGTTTGAACGCCCCTTCCCAACTCTGTACCACAAATGGAGCTCTTGTGTAGCCCAGCCCCTCCCTCTCAGGACCCCAGACCTACTAATAGGGACGTTAGTTGCTTACTTTTCCAGATACTGCTTAAGTTAGGCAGGCCATGAAGAAATAACGGTCTCAGAAACCCCCATGCTAGACATTCGACTCCCGGGTAGGTGTGGGTGGGTGCGCGGAATGGGAAGCGATCCCTCCCAACGGCCGTTGGGGGCTGGCCCACAATCCCTCGCGAGAGCGGGAAAAGCAATGGCGCGGGGGGGGGGAGGGCGCGGGGGGGGGGGGAGGGCGCGGGGGGGGGGGGGGGGGGCGGGGGTCACAAAAGGGGGACGGTCAGCGGGAAGAGCCAAGAGACTGCAACTCTACAATGAAGACGCAGATTACTCCTAATTCCCTGAGCTTTTCACACCAAAATAATGGAAACTGGCCAGTGTGTGCTCGTTACACTCACTACTCCCACTCGAGATCATTCCTATTAGTAACTCTGAGGCTTCACCTAACAGGCCACAGTGGAGGCAAGGAAATGTTGTGTGGAGAACCCACTGGGCCTGGCTGTCCAACCTATGGTCTCCATCCATCGTTTTACAGTCAGGGTGTACATTTGATGGGGAATCTCTAAATGGGACTTTGGGGAATCATAACGGAATAGTGCACAAGTGTGAAAATTTACAAGCCTGCGCAGAGCTGCAAGGCCCAGAGCCGCGTGCAGCGAGGCCACAAAGCCGGCCCCTTCCGCTTTACGTCTGACGTCACGCCGCACGCCCTTCTGAGGGCGTGCGCAGTTTGGCTGCTCCGGGGTTGGTCCCTGAGCTCGCGCGACTGTGCGGCAAGACGTTTGGCTTTGAAATGCAGCGGGATTTGGTGAGTTTCCCGCTGTCTCCAGCGGTGCGGGTGAAGCTGGTGTCTGCGGGTTTCCAGACTGCTGAGGAACTCCTAGAGGTGAAACCCTCCGAGCTTAGCAAAGGTAACGACTCTTGATGGCAAGCTGAGGCACACCGGCCGCCGTCAGCGCCGCCTCAGTCTTCGCTCTCTCGCCTCGGGCTTCAGCCCAGTCTCTGTTAGATTCTGCTGCCTCCCACGTCCGCGTTTACAACGTGAAACAGCTACTTGACTCCACTTACAAGTTGTCTGAATGGTTAGGAGAACTGTGGTCGTGAAAACATTTACTAATTGCGTTTCCTCTGGCAATGCCTGCTGAATGCTTTGAGGATTGTCTCATTTAACCCTCAACCTGCTTACGTAGATTATTTTATTCAGTATATGTATTTTATTCAGTATATGGATGAGAGAACTGGTATCTTGCGGAGGTTAGGTAACTGTTCATGCTAAGTGGGTTAGGAAATGGTGGAGTCAGAATTGGTTGTCTAATTTTTGCTGTTCCAAGATCCAAGGGGTAAGGGTTAAATTTCAGAAATGCAGGATTTGTGTAGGACTAGAGACACTAAGAATGGGAAAGGGAGTAGAATGCCCGGAATCTTGAGGAAGCGGTAATATTCTCCTTTTGCGTAATTCACTGAAACACCCAAAACCTCATATTCCAGAGCACTGCAGATGGGAACCACTGCATCCCGAGGTATACAAATATGAAGCTGGCGTGGTCACTCGTGCACGTTACACTATGACATGTCCAGACCTGTGCTATTCACTGAAGAAGATGGAACAGAATTTTAAATTACTGCCCTTAATGGTGGAAAATACGGAGGTTTCGATTCACCTCTAAAGAATAAGTCTTGTAGACCCAATCTTAACTGTTTTTTTTTTTTTTTTTTTTTTTTTGAGATGGAGTCTCGCTCTGTCGCCCAGGCTGGAGTGCAGTGGCGCGATCTCGGCTCACTGCAAGCTCCGCCTCCCGGGTTCACGCCATTCTCCTGCCTCAGCCTCCCCAGTAGCTGGGACTACAGGCGCCCACAACCGCGCCCGGCTAATTTTTTGTATTTTTAGTAGAGACGGGGTTTCACCGTGGTCTCGATCTCCTGACCTTGTGATCCGCCCGCCTCGGCCTCCCAAAGTGCTGGGATTACAGGCGTGAGCCACCGCGCCCGGCCAATCTTAACTGTTTAAGCCATACCGCACGCAGACTGTGTCCCCCAAAATTTGATGGGCTCTTTTTTCTTCAAGTTGGTTTTTCAAAGAAGAAATATGAGACTCTGAATAATAATAATCACTAACAACTGTTGACCATTTTAGACAGCCTTGATATTCTACCAAGCTTTTTACATGTATCGTCTCATTCCCATTTTATAGAAGAAAAAAATCTGAGCAAAAAAGAAAAAGTGAAGTAACTTGCCCAAAGTCACGCAGTAAGTGGTGCCAGGATTTACAAACCCAGGCAATCTGATTCCAGCATTCAGGCTCTTGAACTGGATAGGATTTTCATTTCCTAAATGCTCTCATCACCATTGTCTTTTATTAGCCCCGTATTTATGGCTCATATTCTTACCAGATCAAGCACTGATAAACTGATACGTGATGTCATCCTCACCATTATTTCTTTACCAGCTTGTTTTGTAATTGCCATATTCTCTTCTCAGGCCATACTGTCAGATGGGTGAAATTGTGTAGTCGAGGACGCATAAATGTATTCTTTAAAATGCTTATGCATTGGATATTCTCATTAGTTTGGAGTGATACATGAATTTTTTACATCAGTTATTTCCATGAAAAGTTTTTATTATAAATAATATATGCATATTTGCTTCTTAAAGTTGTACCTTGTTGTAGGCAGTTAAAAAATCTGTTTTCATTCTCATCTGAAAAATAATTTGTATACCTTATGAGAGCAAGATAATTATGGCTTCATAAGACCAAAAGAGATAGTAAAAGTGTGGTAATAGTGAGTACATTTTTATTTCTGCTTCCTGAGACACTTGTAGGTACTCAGAAATGCTTTAGTTGAATTGTTTCTGAGGTAATAGGTAATTCTTTATGTGATGACTAAGGCAACAAATGCCTTTATTAAGCTGAATATTTTTTTTTTTTTTTTTGAACCGAAGTCTCACACTGTCATCCAGGCTGGAGTGCAATGGTGCGATCTCTGCTCACTGTAACCTCCACCTTCTGGGTTCAAGCAATTGTCCTGCCTCAGCCTCCCAAGTAGCTGGGATTATAATGCATGCCACCACACCTGGCTAATTTTTGTATGTTTAGTAGAGACGGGGTTTCACTATGTTGGCCAGGCTGGTCTTGAACTCCTGACCTCAGGTGATCCAGCTGACTCAGCCTCCTAAAGTACTGGGATTATAGGAATGAGCCACTGTGTCCGGCCAAACTGAAAAATTAAATGTTGATAGAATGTTGCATTTTTATGTTTCTCTACTCCTAGCATCACTCTTGTCTAAAAATTAAAATTAATGAAGACAAGCCATTATCATGTTACACTTTTAAATCTCTGAAATTAGGGTTCTTTTTTTCTTATTTTACTTTCAGAAGTTGGGATATCTAAAGCGGAAGCCTTAGAAACTCTGCAGATTATCAGAAGAGAAAGTCTCACAAATAAACCAAGATATGCTGGTACATCTGAGTCAGGCAAGAAGTGTACAGCACTGGAACTTCTTGAGCAGGAGCATACCCAGGGCTTCATAATTACCTTCTGTTCAGCACTAGATGATATTCTTGGGGGTGGAGTACCCTTAATGAAAACAACAGAAATTTGTGGTGCACCAGGTGTTGGAAAAACACAATTATGGTAAAATAAAGTGTTCTCCTTTTAAGGGTGGGTTTAATAACATATTATGAAAGCAGTATTTTGTACTGTTGGTTTACAGTCAGGAAACCAAATAAGGTATATATGTGCTGTTAATTTTAAGTGTATATGTGCATTAAACAAAAATTAACTTACTATTTGTGTTACTTCAGTATCCCTTCTTGATAAATTGATGCAATTATTTTGATGTGAAAAAATGTTTCTTTTGCAAATTGTAGTGCAGTCTTAAGGTTAAACGGTAAGTTTCTGCTTTATTCATTCCTGAGACGATATTTGAAAGTCAGATGTTTGAAAGTAGATTTATGAGGCCGGGCGCGGTGGCTCACGCCTGTAATCCCAGCACTTTGGGAGGCCGAGATGGGCGGATCACGAGGTCAGGAGATCGAGACCATCCTGGCTGACACGGTGAAACCCCGTCTCTACTAAAAAATACAAAAAACTAGCCGGGCGAGGTGGCGGGCGCCTGTAGTCCCAGCTACTGGGGAGGCTGAGGCAGGAGAATTGCGTGAACCCGGGAGGCGGAGCCTGCAGTGAGCTGAGATCCGGCCACTGCACTCCAGCCTGGGCGGCAGAGCGAGACTCCGTCTCAAAAAAAAAAAAAAAAAAAAGAAAGTAGATTTATGGCTGGGGTAGTGGCTCATGCCTATAATCCCAGCACTTTGGGAGGCTGAGGCAGGAAGATCACTTGAGTCCAGGAGTCTGAGGCCCGTCTGGGCAGCATAGTGAGACCTCGACTCTACTAAAAATGAAAAATTAGCCAAGAGTGGTGTGCCTGTGATCTTAGCTACTTGGGAGGCTGAGGCAGGAGGATTGCTTGAGCTGGGGAGGTCGAAACTGCAGTGAGCCTTGATCACATCACTGTCTGGGCAGCAGAGTGAGACCCTATCTCCAAAAAAAAAAAAAAGAGGCTGAGGGTGGTGGCTCACACCTGTAATCCCAGCACTTTGGGAGGCTGAGGCGGGCGGATCACCTGAGATCAGGAGTTCGAGACCAGCCTGGCCAACATGGCAAAACCCCGTCTCTACTAAAAATACAAAAAATTAGCCAGGCATGGTGGTGCACACCTGTAGTCTCAGCTGCTCGGGAGGCTGAGGCAGGAGAATTGCTTGAACCTAGGAGGCAGAGGTTGCAGTGAGCTGAGATCATGCCACTGTACTCCAACTTGGGTGACAGAGCAAGACTCTGTAAGTAGATTTATGTATAATAAGGAGCTCCATTTTGAGAGGCCTGGAAATAATTAAAATATCCTTAATCGGCCAGGCGTGGTGGCTCATGCCTGTAATCCCAGCACTTTGGGAGGCCGAGACAGGTGGATCACGAGGTCAGGAGATCGAGACCATCCTGGCTAACACGGTGAAACCCTGTCTCTACTAAAAAATACAAAAAATTAGCCGGACGTGGTGGCGGGCACCTGTAGTCCCAGCTACTTGGGAGGCTGAGGCAGGAGAATGGCATGAACCTAAGAGGTGGAGCTTGCAGTGAGCCGGGATCACACCACTGAACTCCAGCCTGGGCAACAGAGCGAGACTGCGTCTAAAAAAATAATAATAATAAAAATAAATAAAATAAAATGTCCTTAATCTTGGTTTTATAGGCATGCTGTCCCCCAATCCAGTTGATTCACATATGGTCGATTGGTTCACATTATATCTGGAGTCATGAAGAGTTAGACATTTCTGTTGCCTTGGGGAACATATTTGCATTTATAAAACTTTAGTGGTACCTAACTTGTTATTATCTAGAGTTTCAAAAACACTGCCTTAGATCATGATGATGATTTGGTTATTTGTCATCTTTTTATTGACAGTATGCAATTGGCAGTAGATGTGCAGATACCAGAATGTTTTGGAGGAGTGGCAGGTGAAGCAGTTTTTATTGATACAGAGGGAAGTTTTATGGTTGATAGAGTGGTAGACCTTGCTACTGCCTGCATTCAGCACCTTCAGCTTATAGCAGAAAAACACAAGGGAGAGGGTAAGTTAGCAAATGATCCTCTTTTTTTCTGTATTAGTAAAAGCAATTTGCATTTGTGCCCATCTCAGACCTCAGCAACAGACCATTTGGATGTGAAGCCTAATGACTTGACCATGAACTAGTGTTAAACTCTTTTACTACTGTTGCAAAATGAGAAATGCCACAGCCTGGACTGGCTTTTTTTTCTTCCCCTTTTATGGCCCTCACTACTTCTTGTAGGAGCTTTGGGACAAAACCTATGTATGTATTTCAGTCATCATACTGCATCTTATCAGGTGTAATTTAATGGTTTTGGACACCTTAATATAAGCAGCTGTTGTTAAAAGCGTTTCAATGTATAATAGCTTCCATATTGGTTTTCCAAAAACCAAAGTAGCTTTGAAAACCACGTCTGAGGCCAGGTGCAGTGGCTTATGCCTATAATCCCAGGACTTTGGGAGGCTGAGGCGGGTGACTCACCTGAGGTCAGGAGTTCGAGACCAGCCTGGCCAACACGATGAAATTCTGTCTGTACTAAAAATACCAAAGTTAGCCAGGTGTGGTGGCACATGCCTGTAATCTCAGCTACTCAGGAGGCTGAGGCGGGAGAATCACTTGAACTCGGGAGTCGGAGGTTGCAGTGAGCCCAGATTGCGCCACTGCACTCCAGCCTAGGCAGCAGTGAGACTACTCTGTCTCTTAAAAAAAGAAAAAAAAAAAAAACCACGTCTGAAATGTTTGAATTGTTAAGCAGATTGACTTGGGGGCTTTGATTATATAGCTGATTTCATAACTGCACTAATTGTTAAAGTGTTTGGGAGGTGTTTTTTGGTGCTTGTTATGTGTGGGAAAAGAAACAGAGATCAGCCTCTTACTGTGTCTATATAGAAAGAAGTAGGCATAAGAGACTCCATTTTGTTCTGTATTTGAGATGCTGTTAATCTGTGACCCTACCCCCAACCTTGTCCGTGCAAGAGACATGTGCTGTGGTGACTCAAGGTTTAATGGATTTTGGGCTGTGCAGGATGTGTCTTTGTTAAACAAGTGCCTGAAGGCAGCTTGCTGGTTAAAAGTCATCACCATTCTCTTAATTTCGACTACCCAGGGACCTCTGCTTGGAAAGCTAGGTATTGTCCAAGGTTTCTCCCCATGTGATAGGCTGAAACAATGCTGCTAAAAGGTTTATGGAGATGTTTGCATATGCATCTCAAGGCACAGCATTTTCCTTTAAACTTATTCATGTCACAGAGATTTTTGTTCATATGTCTACTGCTGATTTCCTCCCTACAATGATCCTATTGTCCAGCCACTCCCTTATCTTTAAGATGGTAAAGATAATTATCAACAAATACTAAGGGAACTCAGAGACTGGTGCTGGCGTGGGTCCTCTGTAAGCTGAGCGCCGGTCCCCTGGGCCCACTTTTTCTTTCTCTATACTTTGTCTCTGTGTCTCATTTCTTTTCTCAAGTCTCTCATTCCACCTAACGAGAAACACCCACAGGTGTGAAGGGGCAGGCCACCCCTTCAGTTATGTGAAAATAAAGTGACTGTAAAACAATTTTTTGTTGTTTTTTGAGACGAAGTTTCACTCTTGCTGCCCAGGCTGGAGTGCAGTGGCACAATCTCAGCTCACCGCAACCTCCACCTCCCAGGTTCAAGGGATTCTCCTGCCTCAGCCTCCTGAGAAGCTGGGATTACAGGCATGTGCCACCATGCCCAGCTAATTTTGTATTTTTAGTAGAGACAGAGTTTCTCCATGTTGATCAGGCTGGTCTCGAACTCCTGATCTCAGGTGATCCTCTCGCCTCAGCCTCCCAAAGTGCTGGGATTACGGGCGTGAGCCACTGCACCCGGCCAGTCTTTTTTTTCTTTTTCAAGGCAGAGTCTTGCTCTGTCGCCCAGTTTAGAGTGCAGTGGCATGCTCTCGGTTCACTGCAACCTCCACCTTCCAGGTTCAAGCGATTCTCCTGCCTTAGCCTCTTCCTGAGTAGCTGGGATTACAGGTATGTGTCACCAAGGCCAGCTAGTTTTTTTTTTTTTTTTTTTTTGAGACAAAGTCTCGCTCTGTCGCCCAGGCTGGAGCGTAGTGGCGCAATCTTGGCTGACTGCAGGCTCCACTTCCTGGGTTCACGCTATTCTCCTGCATCAGCCTCCCAAGTAGCTGGTACTACAGGCACCCACCACCACGCTTGGCTAATTTTTTTTGTATTTTTAGGAGAGACAGAGTTTCACCACGTTAGCTAGGATGGTCTTGATCTCCTGACCTCGTGATCTGCCTGCCAAAGTGCTGGAATTACAGGCATGAGCCACCACACCCGGCCACGCCCAGCTAATTTTTATATTTTTTGTAGAGACAGGGTTTCACCATGTAGGCAAGTCAGGTCTTGAACTCCTGACCTCAGGTGATCTGCCCACCTTGGCCTCCCACAGTGCTGGGATTACAGGCGTGAGCCACTGTGCCCAGCCTAAAACAATTTTTGAAAGGTAATTTGTAGGCCGGGTGCAGTGTCTCATTCCTGTAAACCCAACACTTTGGGAGGCCTAGGTGGGCGGATCACCTGAAGTCAGGAGCCATGGTGAAACCCCATCTCTACTAAAAATACAAACAATTAGCTGGGCATGGTGGTGAGTGCCTATAATCCCGACTACTCAGGAGTCTGAGGCAGGAAAATCGCTTGAACCCAGGAGGTGGAAGTTGCAGTGAGCCGAGATGGCGTCACTGCACTCCATTCTGGGCGACCAAAGTGAAACTCCTTCTCAAAAGAAAAGAAAGGAAATTTATATTCAAGTTCTTACCCTTTCAATTACTTATAAATTAAATGGCTTACGGAGTGACTGTTTTCTTTTTTATTTATTTATTTTGAGATGGAGTCGCGCTCTATTACCCAGGCTGGAGTGCAGTGGCACAATCTCGGCTCACTGCAACTTCTGCCTACTGGGTTCAAGCAATTCTGCCTCAGCCTCCTGAGTAGCTGGGACTACGGGCGTGTGCCACAATGCCTGGCTAATTTTTTGTGTTTTTAGTAGAGGTGGGGTTTCGCCATGCTGACCAGGCTGGTCTCAAACTCCTGACCTCATGATCTGCCTGCCTTAGCCTCCCAAAGTGCTGGGATTACAGGCGTGAGCTACGGGTTTTCTTTTTCTTTGTTTTATTTATTTTTTGGATGTGCGGTCTTTATTCTTTCCTCTAGAAGTTTAAAAAAAAAATGCTTTTCGTAAGATTTCCTTTAAATGAGTGTAATCAGCTGGATTTTTTTTTTTTTTAATGAAGGTACTAAGTGTCCCATTTTGCTGATGACCGGCATGCTTACTGAAAGCCCTTTGGGCCCTAGCAGAATATGCTACCCCAAAATAAGCCACTTTGGCATAAGGATTATTTTGAGCTGAAGGCAATTGAGAAGAAACAGATAAATCTGTCTACCCTTCCTAAATACAGGATATAAATGTACAGAAGAGTCCCATCTTCCCTCTCTTACCAGGAAGACAAAAGTTAATCACCGCAGACAACTTTTGACCGTTATCAGCGTACATAACAAATTTTACTAGCTATCTTTTATCTCCAATTAGTTTCAATATTTGCTGCCTTTAGAGACTCATGGTTCTTTTCCTTTGTCTTGTTACTTCTCTAAAAATTTATTGTACCTTCGGGAAGATAAGCTCAAATTTTTTTTTTTTTTGAGATGGAATCTGGCTCTGCTGCCCAGGCTGGAGTGCAGTGGCGCAATCTTGACTTGCTGCAACCTTCACCTCCCAGGTTCAAGTGATTCTCCTGACTCAGCCTCCCAAGTAGCTGGGAGCTGCAAATACAGGCGCATGCCACCATACCTGGCTAATTTTTGTATTTTTAGTAGAGACAGAGTTTCATCATGTTGGCCAGACTCGTCTCAAACTTCTGACCTCAAGTGATCCTCCTACCTTGGCTTCCCTAAGTGCTTGGATTATGGGTGTGAACACCTGTGCCCGGCCCCAAATCTAACCAAACTTTTGAGTTACTAATCTCTGGACTTCCCTGTGTTGTTACATGCACTATGCATGATTAAAAAACTGTTTTTCTCTTGTTAATCCATCTTTTGTCAGTCCGATTTACAGGGCTCCAGCCAAGAAAAGAGGGTGGCAGGAAAAAAATTTTTCTTCCCCTATACCTTAAAGCTACTCATGCCACTATGTGTGTTTGTATTAGTGTCTTAAAACCTTACCGTAAATAGAGTAGGTATAGCACTGGGATGTAAAGTTTTAATTTTTATTTATTTATTTACTTATTTATTTTTTAAGACAGAGTCTCACTCTGTTGCCCAGGCTGGAATGCAGTGGCGCAATCTCAGTTCACTGCAAGCTCCGCCTCACGGGTTCACGCCATTCTCCTGCCTTAGCCTCCCGAGTAACTGGGACTACAGGTGCCTGCCACCATGCCTGGCTAATTTTTTGTATTTTTAGTAGAGATGGGGTTTCACCGTGTTAGGCAGAATGGTCTCGATCTCTTGACCTCGTGATCCACCTGCCTTGGCCTCCCAAAGTGCTGGATTACAGGCGTGAACCACCACACTTGGCCTAAAGTTTTTAAATGATTGATATGAGATTGATTAAGTTGGCATTGTTTTGGTGAAAATTTGACTCTTGTTACGTGTATATTTGCAATAGGAAATATTTTCTTTTTTTTTTTTTTTTTTTTTTTTTGAGACGGAGTCTCACTCTGTAGCCCAGGCTGGAGTGCAGTGGCCGGATCTCAGCTCACTGCAAGCTCCGCCTCCCGGGTTCACGCCATTCTCCGGCCTCAGCCTCCCAAGTAGCTGGGACTACAGGCGCCCGCCACCTCGCCCGGCTAGTTTTTTGTATTTCTTAGTAGAGACGGGGTTTCACCGTGTTAGCCAGGATGGTCTCGATCTCCTGACCTCGTGATCCACCCGTCTCGGCCTCCCAAAGTGCTGGGATTACAGGCTTGAGCCACCGTGCCCGGCCGGAAATATTTTCGATTCTAAAATACAGCTTCTTGTTTTTTGAGAGTTAAAATTTAAGTACATTTTATTTTTAATATTTTACTTTTTTTGAAATGGTCTCACTTTGTCACCCAGGCCGAAATGCAGTGGCATGATCACAATTCACTGCAGCTTTGACCTCCCTGGGCTCAGATGATCCTCTGACTTTAGCCCCCTAAGTAGCTGGGGCTACAGGTGGGCACCACCATGCCTAGCTACTTTTTTTTGCATTTTTTATAGAGACGGAATTTTGCCATGTTGCCCAGACTGGTCTTGAATTCATGGGCTCAAGAGATCTGCCTGCCTTGGCATCCTAAAGTGTTAGAATTACAGGCATGTTTCACCGTGTAGAGACGGGGTTTCACCGTGCCTGGCTAAGTACATTTTAAAATGCAGTAACTGGCCGGGCACGGTGGCTCATGCCTGCAATCCCAGCACTTTGGGAGGTCGAGGCAGGCAGATCACGAGATCAGGAGGTGGAGACCATCCTGGCTAACACGGTGAAACCCCGTCTCTACTAAAAATACAAAAAATTAGCTGGGCGTGGTGGCTGGTGCCTGTAGTCCCAGCTGCTTGGGAGGCTGAGGCAGGAGAATAGCATGAACCCGGGAGGCAGAGCTTGCAGTGAGCTGAGATTGTGTCACTGCACTCTAGCCTGGGGGATAGAGGGAGACTCTGTCTCAAAAAAAAAGAAAAAAGATAAGAGAAAATGCAGTAACTCTATTGGTTTTTCTCTGAAATAGATGTAAAACCAAACTGTTTTGTTTGTTTGTTTTTCTTTTTTTCTGAGACAGAGTCTTGTTCTGTCGCCCAGGCTGGAGTGCAATGGTGAGATCTTGACTCACTACAACCTCCGTCTCCTGGGTTCAAGCAAGTCTCCTGCCTCAGCCTCCTGAGTAGCTGAGATTACAGGTGTGCACCACCACACCAGGCTAATTTTTATATTTTTAGTAGAGATGGAGTTTCACCATGTTGACTAGGCTGGTCTTGAACTCCTGACCTAGTGATCCACCCACCCAGCCTCCCAAAGTGCTGTGATTACAGGTGTGAGCCACTGCTCCCGGCCTCAAACTGTTTGTTTTAAACATCAAAGCTAAGAAAGATTTTATATAATTGTTGCTATTAAATATCAAATTGTACTACAGCATTCAAGAGAAAAAATGCTTCATTTGAACATTTTTTCCTAACTTTTCTTTTTCTTTTTTTTGAGACGGAGTTTCATTCTGTCACCCAGGTTGGAGTACAGCGTGGCTATCACAGCTTACTGCAGCCTTGACCTCCCAGGCTCAAGCGATCCTCTCACCTTAACCTCCTGAGTAGCTATGACCACAGTTGCACACTACCACACCTGACTAATTTTTGTATTTTTTGCAGAGATGGGATTTTGCCATGTTGTCCAGGCTGCCATTAACTCTTAATTTGTAGTCCTATAGAAAAAAACAAGAAAGAGAAACTTCCATTATGTTACTTCTGTTCAATGAAGCCAGTGACTAGAAATATGAAAAGGCAGGCATTAAAATACTGGTTATATATGTTTATAAATAATTTTACATTGCCTAATAGGAAACAGTGGAAAATGTGAAAGTAAAAGATCAGGTTGGGTGTGGTGGCTCATGCCTGTAATCCCAGCACTTTGGGAAGCTGAAGTGGCTCTGATCACTTGAGGTCAGGAGTTCAAGACCAGCCTGGCCAACATGGTGAAACCCCGTCTCTACTAAAAATACAAAAATTATCTAGGTGTGGTGGGGAGTGGCTATAATCCCAGCTACTCAAGAGGCTGAGGCAGGACAATCGCTTGAGCCCAAGAGGCAGAGGTTGCAGTGTGCTGAGATCATGTCACTGCACTCCAGCCTGGGCAACAGAGTAAGACTTTATCTGGAAAAAAAAAAAAAAATTCAAGGGGCTGGACACAGTGCTTTATGCCTGTAATTCCAGTGCTTTGGGAGGCTAGGGCAGGAGGATCCCTTGAGCCTAGGAATTCAAGGTTGTGGTGAGCTATGATTGTGCCACTGTGCTCTAACCTGGGCGTCAGAGTGAGACCTTACCTCTAAACAAATTAAGAGAGAGATCAGAAATTGTGAACTGATAGTTTATGGTAATTTTGCTACAGTTTGTCATCTTTCTGTTAAAGAATTTTGTTATACAAATGAGAACATTTTGTTATTAAAAAGTATTGTTTTCTTACAATTGCCAGCACATCCAAACAGGTAAAACTAATTAAGATTGTTTTGTTGTTTCAGAACACCGAAAAGCTTTGGAGGATTTCACTCTTGATAATATTCTTTCCCATATTTATTATTTTCGCTGTCGTGACTACACAGAGTTACTGGCACAAGTTTATCTTCTTCCAGATTTCCTTTCAGAACACTCAAAGGTATGAGTCAGACTACTGAAATGTAACTAAACAACAGTTTTTTGAGGTGTTTGATAAGCATGAAAAAATAACCAGTACAATAGCATAAAATCAAAGTCAAAGCCAATTGAGAAGACCTCTTCCTTCCTTGACCTACAATTTATTTATATTTATATTTGTTTTGTGTATGTATATGTATATGTATATATAGTTTATGCCCAGAGTAAGACATTGAAATAATATAGAAGTTTCATTTCCAGTAATAGTGGAATAGCTCCTGTCAAACCATATTGTATAGAAAAGTATGAAATGAAGAATAAAAACTTCCTTCTGCTACTGTTTTCTAGTGCCTCCCCCCAAAGTTGATCACTATTGGCCAGGTGCAGTGGCTCATATTTGTAATCCCAGCACTTAGGGAGGCCACGGTGGGAGGATCACTTGAGCCCAGTAGTTCAAAACCAGCCTGGGCAACATAGTAAGACATTGTCTTTACCAAAAAAAAATTAACTGTGTGTGGTGTAGCTGTAGTCTCAGCTACCAAGGGCTGGGTGGAGCAGGGCTGAGGTGGGAGGATTGCTTGAGCCCAGCAGTTCAAGGCTACATTGAGCTACCATGCCATCATGTATCACCCTTTTTTTTTTTTGGTAGAAATGGAGTCAACTCCTAGGGTTAAGCGATTCTCCCACCTCGGCCTCCCAAAGTGCTGGGATTACAGGCATGAGCCACTGTGCCTGGCCCTTTAATTTTGATAAACATTGTCAGTGACAAAGATTGTCTTTGACTGAACTTGGCCCCATCCTGTCTTTGGCCTACCCAGCCCAGTCTTAGCAAAGAAACCTGCTAAGCTTCATAGAGAATCTCTCACATTTGATAGTCTGAGCACCTTTGATATCTGATCACGTTCCTCATTCCCCACCTTTGATATTTAAATCCTTGGCCTGCCTTTATTTTGTTTGTTTATTTTTTTTGATTTGATGGAGTCTTGCTCTGTCACCCAGGCTGGAGTGCAGTGGCGCGATCTTGGCTCACTGCAACCTCTGCTTCCCGGGTTCAGGCAGTTCTCCTGCCTCAGCCCCCCAAGTAGCTGGGATGACAGGCATGCGCCATTATGCCCGCCTAATTTTTTTTTTTTTTTTTTTTTGTATTTTTAGTAGAAACAGGGTTTTGCATGTTGGCCAGGCTGCTCACCTGGCTGGCCTGCCTTTAGTAAGAATCCTGTTCGGTCAGTTTAGCAAGAATTTTCCTACCCTTGATGTCTCACTGTTAGTAATTGTTCATTCACTGACCCCTTCACCTTGCTCTTGGTTGTGAATCCCCACTTGTCTTTGTATTCTGATTTGAACCCAATCTCTCTCCCCTATTGTGATACCCCTATTGGAATAGTCTTGAATATGGTCTCCTTACTGTTTTAAGAAGTGTTAGAATCATTTTTTCTTGAGCACAAATCGCCCTTCAGAAAGATTGCACCAATTTCTACTCTTACTGATAATATATGAGAATGCCTGTTACCCATCATCCTGACCTTATGAATATTTTTGCCAGGATTCTGCATGGAAAATGCCATCTCTTTGTTATTTATTTATTTAAATTAATTAATTAATTTTTTTGAGACAGAGTCTTGCTCTGTCACCCAGTCTGGCTAACATGGCAAAACCCCATCTCTACCTAAAAACACAAAAATTAGCCTGGTGTGGTGGCATGCGCCTGTGATCCCAGCTACTTGGGAGGCTGAGACAGGAGAATCTCTTGAACCTGGGAAGCAGAGGTTGCAGTGTGCCGAGATCGTGCCACTGCACTCCAGCCTGGGCAACAGAGAAACTGTCTCAAAATAAATAAATAAAAATTAAATAAATAAATACAATAGAAATTAATTTTCTTGGTGTTCTGGAGCCTGGAAGTTCAAGATCAAAGTTCTAACTCATTCAGTTTCTGGCAAGGGCTTTCTTCCTGGCTTGCAGACAGCCATCTTTTCTCTGTGTCCTCATATGATAGGGAGGAAAAGAAGGAGAGAGTGAATTCCCTGGTGTTTCTTCTTTTTTTTTTTTCTTAATTTTTTTTTTTTTTGAGACAGAGTTTTGCTTTTGTCGCCCAAGCTGGAGTGCAATGGTGTGATCTCAGCTCACTACAACCTCCGCCTCCCGGATTCAAGCGATTCTCCTGTCTCAGCCTCCAGAGTAGCTGGGACTACAGGTGCGTGCCACCGTGCCTGGCTAATTTTTGTATTTTTAGTAGAGACGGAGTTTCCCCATGTTGGCCAAGATGTTCTCAATATCCTGACCTTGTGATCCGCCCGCCTCGGCCTCCCAAAGTGCTGGGATTATAGGCGTGAGCCACTGTGCCCGGACCCTGATGTTTCTTCTTACAAGGAGGCTATTAGGGTCCCATGTTTATGAACTTATTTAACTTTGATTACTTCCTTAGAAGTCCTTTCTCCTCATACATTCACGTTGGGGTTTAGGGATTCAACATACGAATTTTAAGTGGACACAATTGAGTTCCCAGAAGTTTGCCCCTGGCCCCTTGCCCCCCCACCCACCACATTTATGTTTTTCTTGTATCCATTCCATCCACACAGTCCCAAAGGTCTTAACTGGTTCCATCATCAACTCTTAAAAGTCCCAGGCCTCATCTAAATATTATCTAAATCTGAGATTGGTGAGACTCAAGTTATAATTCATCCTGAGGTGAAATTCCCTTCCAGCTGTGAACGTTTGAAATCAGGCAACTTATATGCTTTCAAAATACAATAGTAGGACAGGCATAGGATGAACATTCCCTAAAGGATTATGGGTCCCTAGCAAGGCAAATTTCATTAGACCATAAGGCTCAAGAATAATCTTTTGCTGGCCAGGCACGGTGGCTCATGCCTGTAATCCCAGCACTTCGGTAGGCTGAGGCAGGCGGATCACAAAGTCAGGAGTTTGAGACCACACTGGCCAATATGGTGAAACCCCATCTCTACTAAAAATACAAAAATTAGCCAGGCATGGTGGCACGTGCCTGTAGTCCCAGCTACTCGGGAGGCTGAGGCAGAAGAATCACTTGAACCCAAGAGGCAGAGGAGGTTGCAGTGACATGAGATCATTCCACTGCACTCCAGCCTGGGTAACAGTGAGACTCTGTCTCAAAAAAATAATAATAAAAAGAATCATCCTTTGCTTTGATGCTCTGCCTTCTAGGCCCACTGCAGTAGCAGAGTCACCCTACTGCTCTGTGGGGTGACCCTGTCCCTTCCTCTCTCTGCAAGGGCCCCACCCTCTGAAACCAAGAAAAACATAGCATTGCCCCCTGGGCATATGTAAAGAGTGGCAGCTCTGAGGATCTGTGATCCCCTTTGGCATCATTCTTTCCTTTTCTTGAGGAATAGGGCACATTCACAGTCAAGTAGCTAATGGTTTTGTCTTGTGGAATCAAGGAAGTCCAACAGTCTTCTTTCATTCTTTCCCACTTTCTCTGTCTTTACTTCAAACTAGCAGTGTTTCTGCTGTTATAATCCCTTATCTGTCACTGGCATCTGCTGAGATGGCTGATTAACATCATGGATAATCTATTTATAGAGTGATTGTTCAACCCTACCTTTGGTCTTCTCTCTAGAGCAAGCTTTCTTATTTTTAGCCATATGGATAAGCTGAGAATTTTCCACATCTCTAAGTTCTGGTTCCTTCTTGCTGAACAATTCCTTCTTCAATTCATCTGTCTCCTCTTTCATTTTTACTGTAAGTGATCTAGGAGGAACCAAGCCACTTCCTGTACACTTTGCTTAGAAATCTCCTGAGATAAATAGCCAATTTCATTTCTCACAAGTTTTACCTTCCATAAAATACTAGAACACAGTCAGCCAAGTTATTTGCCACTTTATACTAAGCACCAGCTTTCCTTCAGTTTTCAATAACGTGTTCCTCATTTCTGTATAAAGTCTCACCAGAATAGCCGGGCGTGGTGGCTCACGCCTGTAATCCCAGCACTTTGGGAGGCTGAGGCGGGCAGAGTGCCTGAGGTCAGGAGTTCAAGACCAGTCTGGCCAACATGGTGAAACCCCATCTCTACTAAAAATACAAAAAAATTAGCTGGGCGTGGTGGCGGGCACCTGTAATCCCAGCTACTGGGGAGGCTGAGGCGGGGGAATTGCTTGAACCAGGGAGATGGAGGTTGCAGTGAACTGAGAATGATGCCACTGTACTCCAGCCTGGGCAACAGAGCAAGACTCCATCTCAAAAAAAAAAAAAGCCTCACTAGAATTGCCCTTAATGTCCATATTTTCAGTATGTGCCCCAAAACTTTTCCAGCCTTTGCTTATTACCCAATTTCAAAATCACTTCCACATTTTAGGTATTTGTTATAGTAGTATCTCACTTCTCTCACCCCTCAACCCACCATACCTCATATCTTTATACTAAAATCTGTTGTGGTCACCTCAGGCTACCATAACAAAAATACTATAGTCTCGAGTGGCTTGAACAACAGAAATTTTATTTTCTTACAGTTCTGGAGACTAGAACCTCAAGATCAAGGTTCTGGCTGATTGGTCTCTGGTGAGAGCTCTCTCCCTGGCTTGTAGATGGCCACCTTCTTGCTGTGTCCTCATGGGGAGGAAGGAAGAGGAGTGAGCTCTTTGGTGTCTTGTTCTTCAAGGACACGAATCCTCTCAAATCAGGATGTTATTCTCATGACCTCATTTTACATTAATTACTACCTTAGAGGCCCTCTCTCCGAATACTGTCACACTGGGAGATAGGGCTTCAACTTACGAATATTGGGGGGACACAGAGCATTGGTCATGTGTGGAGTCATGAAAAGTCGAATCAACCTGTGTACACATTCCCAGCTAAGGATGAACAAGGTCATGTTCTGCCTTTTTATATCAGCTGTCATACTGTAAATAAGTGTCCTTTTCACCATCTTTATAATGCCACTTTTTTTTGCATTTTTGTGCTTTTTATTAGTGTTAAACTATTCTTCATCACTTCGTCCGGTTTTATTTTGTTATAATTATTGGAAATTACCTTATTCGTGTGTTTGTTTGCATATTTAATGGTACCTTACTCCACTAAAACATAAACTCCAAGAGAGCAGGGACCTTCTCTTTTATTTACTATATTCTTCTCTCTTATTTACTATATCATCCCCAATGCCTGGAACAGTAACTAGCATATAGGAAAGGATGTGTCAGTTAATACTTCTAAATGAAGAAACAAATACTTTAAAAAAAATGACTGACTTAGACATAGCTTCATAAAAACCTCTTCTTTAATCTAGCCCTCACTAGATAGAAAAAAAAAACAGCATTGGGGTTTTTTGTTTGTTTACATTTCGATTAGTTTCTAGATGCTTTTTGATTTTGTGATCTTAAGGTTTATATATTGGTTTATTCTTCTAACCTCGCTGTTTATGTTTTGCTTTGGGAGGGCTTTCTTTTGAAAGGGTTTTACTCTGTCCCCCACGCTGAAGTACATGGCAAGGCTTCACCATGTTGGCCAGGCTGGTCTCAAACTCCTGACCTCATGATCCACCTGCCTCGGCCTCCCAAAGTGCTGGGATTACAGGTTTGAGCCACTGCACCCAGCCTGAAGGGGTGTTTTTTTTTTTTTTCAAGAAACATAAAAGGAACCCTGAAGGTAAAATTGGTGTGTTTAATTGACAAATTTGTTGTTTTACCAAGACTTTTTCTTTACCCCTTTTCCGAATGTTTTGTAAATACTTTAAATGTGCTTTTTATCAGTAAAGACTGTGTACAGTGGCAAGTTATAAGAAAATTATAATTATTCGGCTGGGCGCAGTGGCTCATGCCTGTAATCCCAGCACTTTGGAAGGCCAAGGTGGGCGGATCACGAGGTCAGGAGATTGAGACCATCCTGGTTAACACAGTGAAACGCCGTTTCCACTAAAAAATACAAAAAAATTAGCCGGGTGTGGTGGCAGGCGCCTGTAGTCCCAGCTACTCAGGAGGCTGAGGCAGGAGAATGGTGTGAACCCGGGAGGTGGAGCTTGCAGTGAGCCGAGATCACGCCACTGCACTCCAGCCTGTGTTACAGAGCGAGACTCTGTCTCAAAAAAAAGAAAAAAGAAAATTATAATTATTCCTTTTTCTTTTTGAATTTCTTTTTTTTTTTTTTTTTTTGAGACAAAGTCTTACTCTGTTGCCCAGACAGGAGTGCAGTGGCACAACCTCTGCTGCCAGGGTTCAAGCGATTCTCCTGCCTCAGCCTCCCGAGTAGCTGGGGTTACAGGTGCCTGCCACTGCGCCTAGCTAATTTTTGTAGTTTTAGTAGAGATGGAGTTTCACCATCTTGGCCAGGCTGGTCTTGAACTCCTGACCTCGTGATCCACCTGCCTCGGCCTGCCAAAGTGTTGGGATTACAGGTGTGAGCCGTCGTGACTGGCCTTTGAATTACTTTTTTAAAGTTGAGAAATTATCAAAGCAGAGTCCATTTTAACTTTTAGTGATTACCGCAGAAAGTATTGGGTGAATAGCTTTGTAACTTTTCAAAAGAAAGCCATTTTTTAGACAGTTGGAAATAAAGCCCTGGGTTTTAAGATTTTTTCCTGTAACGGACTATGGTTTTTGGATGTCATTTTTATTATTTTATTTTTGATACCAAATCTAATATTATCTCTTCTGTATTTAGGTTCGACTAGTGATAGTGGATGGTATTGCTTTTCCGTTTCGTCATGACCTAGATGACCTGTCTCTTCGTACTCGGTTATTAAATGGCCTAGTCCAGCAAATGATCAGCCTTGCAAATAATCACAGATTAGCTGTAAGTATTAACTAGTGAAGAGAATTTTAGAACAAAGTCAAGACTGTATAAAATGTTAATGTCTAGAAATATCAAAATAGCATTTGTCTGACAAATAATATAGACATGCAGTTTTGAGTAAAGTTTCAGTTTGGTTTTGGTTTCTATTAAAAAATTCTGGTCATAAGTGTCAGTTTTTCTGGAAAACAAGCATAATTAATATGTCATTTTTAAAAATGGACTTTGTGGTTGGGCGCAGTGGCTCACGCTTGTAATCCTAGCACTTTGGGAGGCAAAGGCAGGTGAATCATGAGGTCAGGAGTTTGAGACTAGCCTGGCCAACATGGTGAAACTCTGTGTCTACTGAAAAAAAAAAATACAAAAAATTATCCGGGCGTGGTGGCATGCCCCTGTAATCTCAGCTACTCGGGAGGCTGAGGCAGGAGAATCGTTTGAACCCAGGAGGCAGAGGTTGCAGTTGGCGGAGAACGCACCATCGCACTCCAGCCTGGGCAACAGCAAGACTCCGTCTCGAGAGAAAAAAAAGGATTTTGTTTGATAAAGAAGTGCCACCTTTGTTAATTGCAGTGTCTTCTTTGTTTAAATATACTTTGGATGTTTTTCAGGTTAACTCTTCCAATATCGCTGGTTTTCTTCTACTCTGAGTCTTTGATTATTATGTGGTATGTAATCACAGATTCAGATGGATCGAAACATTACCTAGTGTAAACAACCGAGGTGCTTTGAGGTAGAGCCAAATACCTCTTGAAGATTTGAAATGTGAGGAGAGAAGTATATATCAGTTCAGAAGGGAAGAGATTTTTTTTTTAAAGTTTTACCTCACTCCTCTTTAACTACCTGTTCGCCATTACTTCCCACCCTGAATCCCCATCTCACTCACCACTGACACAAATACACACATTTGTCTGGTAGTAAGATGTAAGGTCAAACTGCTAAATTTGGTTTCTTTGTCTTTGCCTTAATTGGAGAGACTTTAGCACATACCTATAATGCATCATAAGTAAATAAAGAACTTTCTCAGTAAAATAATTTTAAAGCATACTTTTTTCTTTTAATTTCCAGATTTTTTGCCATGTGCTGAAAAGCATAGTGCCCTGTGTTTGAATTACTTCTTGCTTAAATTAATCGTAATTTAGCCTTTTGTTAATATCAGTGAAGAGCCTCCAGTAGGGGGCACTCAAGACTAATGGGTTGCATAGTTACGTTTTTATTTTAACAGAAATAGCTTCACCTTTTCTGACTAAAAAAGCAATCCAAACAATAACATCAAATAGTAGGTAGTGTTTAAGAAGAGTGATGTAGGCCGGGCGCGGTGGCTCACGCCTGTAATCCCAGCACTTTGGGAGGCCGAGGCGGGCGGATCACAAGGTCAGGAGATCGAGACCACGGTGAAACCCTGTCTCTACTAAAAATACAAAAAATTAGCCGGGCGCGGTTGTGGGCGCCTGTAGTCCCAGCTACTGGGGAGGCTGAGGCAGGAGAATGGCGTGAACCCGGGAGGCGGAGCTTGCAGTGAGCCGAGATCGCGCCACTGCACTCCAGCCTGGGAGACAGAGCGAGACTCCGTCTCAAAAAAAAAAAAAAAAAAAAAGAGTGATGTAAATATAAACGTCCTAACATGGAAGAAGATATTTACATATAGGTTACTGAGAAGAAATTTAGGTTGTATATGAAATATATTTAGTGTAATCTCAGTTTAGAGAAAACAAAATTATATGTATGCATTTATATTTGTATATATGAAGAGAATGATATGAAAGGACCAAAACATTAACATTGGCTACTTCTTTTTTATTTTTTTTTTGGAGACAGAATCTTACTGAAGTGCAGTGGTGCAGTGAGGGCTCATTGCAGCCTCGACATCCCGGGCTCAAGTGATTCTCCCACTTTGTATTTTTTTTTTTTTTTTTTTTTTGTAGAGATGGGGTTTCACCATGTTGCCCAGCTGGTCATGAACTCTTCGGCTCAAGCGATCATCTGCCGGCCTCAGCTTCCTAAAGTGCTAGGATTACATGCATGAGCCACTGTGCCCGGCCTTGGCTACTTCAAAGGATGGAATTTTGTAGGGTTAAGGACACACTTTCCCTTTCTTACTTTATAATTTCTTTGCTTGAAGGTTTTTTTCCCAATTAGCTTATATATAACATGTATGGCTTTTGATAATGTATTTTATAATTTTAAGGCCAGATGTGGTAGCTCATACCTGTAATCCCAATACTTTTGGAAGGCCAAAGTGGGAGGATCGCCTGAAGCCAGGAGTTTGAGGCCAGCCTGGACAACAAAGCCTGATCCCATCTCTAAAAAAAAAATTACATAAAATAAGAATAATTGGCCAGGCACAGCAGCTCACGTCTGTAATCCCAGCACTTTGGGAGACTGAGGTGGGTGGATCATGAGGTCAGGAGTTCGAGACCAGCCTGACCAACGTGGTGAAACCATCTCTACTAAAAATACAAAAATTAGTCAGGCTTGGTGGTGCGCACCTGTAATCCCAGCTACTCAGGCTGAGGCAAGAGAATTGTTTGAACCCAGAAGGCGGAGGTTGCAGTGAGCCGAGAGCGCGCCACTGCACTCCAGCCTGGGTGAGAGAGTAAGACTCCGTCTCAAAGAAAAAACAAAAGAAAAATTTTAAGTTATGTATGCTTTTTGTAAAAAAAAAAAAAAGATCTAAACAATAAGAAATGTAGAAAGCGATTATTCATTACTCAGAGATGGTGTAAATATTGTTGTCTGGTGTAAATATTTTTGCAGAATTTACACATATACAAACTTACTTTTTATTTTATTTTATTTTTTTTTGAGACGGAGTCTCGCTTTGTCGCCCAGGCTGGAATGCAGTGGCACCATCTCGGCTTACTGCAAGCTCTGCCTCCTGGGTTCACACCATTCTCCTGCCTCAGCCTCCGAGTAGCTGGGACTACAGGCATGCACCACCAGGCCCGGCTAATTTTTTGTATTTTTAGTAGAGACGGGGTTTCACCGTGTTAGCCAGGACGGTCTCAATCTTCTGACCTCGTGATCCTCCCGCCTCGGCCTCCCAAAGTGCTGGGATTACAGGCGTGAGCCACCGCGCCCGTCCCACAAACTTACTTTTTAGAAAATGAGGTCATAGACCAGGCGTGGTAGCTCAGGCCTGTAATCCCAGCACTTTGGGAGGCTGAGGCAGGTGGATCATGACGTCAGGAGATCAAGACTGTCCTGGCTAACACAGTGAAACCCTGTCTCTACTAAAAATACAAAAAATTAGCCGGGTGTGGTGGTGGGCACCTGTAATTTCAGTTACTTGGGAGGCTGAGGCAGGAGAATGGCATGAACCTGGGAGGCAGAGCTTGCAGTGTTCTGAGATCGCGCCACTGCACTCCAGCCTGGGCGACAGAGCAAGACTCCATCTCAAAAAAAAAAGAAAAAGAGGTCATGCCACTGCAGTGGCTTAGGCCTGTAATCCCAGCACTTGGGGAGGCCAAGGTGGGAGGATCACTTGAGCCCATGAATTTGAGACCAGCCTGGGAAATATAGTGAGACCTCATTGCTACAAATTTAAAAAAAAAAGTTAGCCAAGCATAGTGGCACGCACCCATAGTCCTAGCTACTTGAGAGGCTGAGGTGGGAGGAGGATTGCTTGAGGCTGGGAGGCAAAGGTTGCAGTGAGCTGAGATCGCACCACTGCATTCCAGCCTAGGCAGCAGAGCAAGACCCTGTCTTCAAAAACACAAAAAGAAATGAAAATGAGGTCATATTATACATGCTATTGTGCAAAGCAGTTTTCTGTTTTTCACTTAATATATTGTGAACATCTTTCCACGTACACTACTTTTTTTCTTCTATGTACACTAATAAGTCTGCTTTGCGCTAATAACTGCATAGTATTTTGTTGTTTGACTGTAGCATAGGTTTTTTTTGTATTTGTATTTGTTTTTGGGTTTTTTTTTTTTTTTTTGAGACGGAGTCTCGCTCTGTCGCCCAGGCTGGAGTGCAGTGGCGCGATCTCGGCTCACTGCAAGCTCTGCCTCCTGGGTTTACGCCATTCTCCTGCCTCAGCCTCCTGAGTAGCTGGGACTACAGGCGCCCGCCACCGCGCCCGGCTAATTTTTTGTATTTTTAGTAGAGACGGGGTTTCACCGTGGTCTCGATCTCCTGACCTTGTGATCCGCCCGCCTCGGCCTCCCAAAGTGCTGGGATTACAGGCGTGAGCCACCGCGCCCGGCTGGGTTTTTTTTTTGAAACAGAGTCTCTCTCTGTCACCCAGGCTAGAGTGCAGTGGCATGATCTTGGTTCACTGTAGCCTCAATCTCCTGGGCTTAAGCAATCCTTTCACTTCAGCCTCCTGAGTAACTGAGACTACAGGCACACACCACCACACCCAGTCATTTTTAAAATTTTTTGTAGAGGCTGGGTGTGGAAGCTCACACCTGTAACCCCGCCACTATGGGAGGCCGGGGCGAGCAGATCACTTGAGGTCAGGAGTTCAAGACCAGCCTGGCCAACATGTTGAAACCTTGTCTCTACTAATAATACCAAAATTAGCTGGACATGGTGGTGCTTACCTGTAGTCCTAGCTACTTGGGAGGCTGAGGCAGGAGAATCACTTGAACTCAGGAGGTGGAGGTTGCAGTGAGCCAAGATCATACCATTGCACTCCAGCTGGGGAGACACAGTGAGACTCTATCTCCAAAATAAATAAATAAATAAGTTTTTTGTAGAGATGAGGTCCCACTATGTTGCCTAGGCTGTTCTTGAACTCCTGGGCTTAAGGGATCCTCCTGCTTCAACCTTCCCTAGGCATGAGCCACTGTGCACAGCCTGTAGTGTAGTTTTTTTAACCACCTCCTTATTGATTGTCTCTTTTTTTTTTTTTCCTGTTTTAGACAGAGTCTTCCTCTGTCACCCAGGTTGGAGTACAGCGTCACACTCTTGGCTCACTGCAGTCTCCCCCTCCCAGGTTCAAGAGCTTCTCATTCCACAGTCTCCCGAATAGCTGGGATTACAGGCATGCACCACCA